GATCCATGATTGGCGATTTATCGAAACGTGACATAGCCAAAAAATAGATCCAAACCCCCATAAATAATCTTAAATTTGAAAATAATTTGGCGAAAGCGAATCACCAAAAAGACTGTTAGAATTAGTATAACCATGTGTTGTGGAATGATTCAGTGGTGAATGGGTGCATTGAATAAAGAAACCATATTTAATAACAAAAAAAATTTAATAAACAATAAAACAATAAGATGGCACGAAATGGGGCTCTCCACTAAGCCCTCCAATTCAATCCATTGCCTGCCACATAAGTGATTACAGAATTCTTGTGAGAGATTGCAACTCCCTCTTCTGGTCAGGCAGAAATTCGTACCACTCCCCACCTGAACTCTTTTGAGTTCACTTAACATCACATAAATGTGCATAATTTTTTTTTAAAGAACAATATTAGTTGAAATATAAAATCAAAAATGTATCCATAGCAGTAATTTGCAATAATAATAATTGATTGAATGTTCAATGATTTAGATAACAATATAAAACAATCAATTATTACACATTACAATGAACATTTTTGTTTAAGGGTTAATTTTTAAATTACTTACAAGTTGAACTGGGCGTCTTATGCCTCCTTTAGGAGTTTCTATCAAAAGAGAACGAATGTCTCCATCTCGTCCCAGATACACTTCCAAAATACTTCCCAGCATCCACATATTTCTGATATTACGCTCATCATTGATTAAAATGATATCCTTTACCTTAAATGATGTTATCTTACCTGGTGGTAAAGAAATGTAAGCAGATCTTAGATGCAGTAAATATCCCCCTCCTCCACCGGTTCCAGAAATGATCCAAAAGTGTTTGTTGATATTTATGCCTTTCAGTTAAATGAATCTCTATTTACAATCAAATCAAATGATTACAGAATTATCGTGAGTGATTACAGCGCCCTCTTCTGGTCAAGGCAGAAATTCGCAACAGCATGTAACTGAAAAATTTTTGTGTTAAAAAATGAAGAGTTATAAATGGAATTTTGTTTTCGATTTTAGTCGTAATGAGTCTCACATTAATATTGAAATAGTAAGTCGGCCGTTATATTGGTGGTTAAGAAAGGAACAAAATATTTTGTATTCGCTTTTCATAAAATTTAAATAATTGATTTAATTTAGTTAAAATTCGATTAAGAATGATTAAAGAAATAAGTTTAAGAAAATAAAGAAATTTTAAAAGCTGGGAAATATGTAATGCGTATTGTGGCATCAGAACCATCATTAGTTTTTTATACATGGTAAGAACTTACTATCTAAGTGTTTTTTTTTCCAACACTATAATGCGTGTGATTTTATTGATTCATCAAACATTGAAGTATAAATTTGATCACGTTCCCTAAGTCGTACCAGCTGCTTCAGGAGTAAATATTATTATTTCAATAACCAATCATTTATCTAATTTAAGTGACTCAAAGAAAACGAAGTTGAACTTCTTACTTTATTATTGCAACAGCTGCTGCTTTATTGAAATTCAGATTAAAGGCTGATGAAGCACGATTCTAAAATCATAGTATGTCACGCGAGCGCCATATTCCACACATAAATAAACACTACTGAATTCTTACTGAAAAGTAAATACAACTGAATCAATACAAAATTTCGGCAAAATGAACTACGTTACTTTTGTGGTCGAGCGTGTCTTTTTTTTTCCTCTCTTTTCTTTGTGATTTTCGATGAAATATTTTAAAAAAAAATTGATTCTTTTTTCTCTTCTTTGGTTCCGCAATTTTTTTTTTTTTAGTCTGCTTAATTTTTGCTCACTTCCAAATGAAAAATTTGCAAGTTTTGGGCTTCCAAGCAATAGGGCAAAAAATTAGGTTGGTCGAGAAAATATTTCGCTACTTGCTAGTGGCCAGCTGTAGCATTTTTAAAGATAGTCATTTTTTTTTTAAAAAAAAAAGAGGCCACGTTTCGAAAATTGAAAATTTTAAACGATTAAGAAAATCTGATATAAGTATATTTATGTTTGTCTTTTTAATCATTTCTTAAAATATGGAAAATATTTACAATATTCATTTCTAATATGAGGAAAATTTTTAAAAAACAAGCGCGAAACAAACTTATTACAGAATATTTTAAAATAGTCATAATAATTTCATAGTTAGTTTATTTTATTTTATAACCGTCGTCGAACAGCCGAAACAATTTCGAGTTTACGACTACCAATGTTCAACTCCGTAGCTTCGTAATTTCGAACCCAACCCTGAAGAAGAGAAAACTCCAGGATCAAGTATTGGGAGAAATGTTGCCTTCAGTTAGAACGTTTTTGAAGGAAATAATCCGTATTTGTGTTACATGGAGTGGAAAACACGAAGATATCTCACGGTTAGTCTGACGGCAAGGAGACTCTAACCCATGATCCGTCTACTACTGAGGATATTTTACGTAAGCACTGTGGTCGGTGCAAGTTGGATGCGGAATTCGTATATACCAGCCATAACTATGATTTGTCACCTCATCTGAAGGCAAGCGCTCCCTGAAATATCACAGCTTCTCCATATTTATTAAATAAAAATAATGATAAAAACTCACGCGGGCAGTTTCGGCGAAAAAATTGACGTTCTATGGAGACTGGTGGACAATTTTTTGTCTCCCTTTGTCCAGTGGCGACCGTTAATTTTGCCCGATAAAGGCCTCTTTTGATTTTTTTTCTTTTAATATTTTTTTAATTGCTTTTCTATCATTGGCATTGATCAATTCGAAACAATTATAAACTATCCTAAATTATGGTGACACAAATTTGACTGCACATGCATTACTATTATGCTTTACTGAATATTAATTTTAATGATTGTTTACGCTACACTATTCTGCTTTTTCTAGTCGAAATAACAATTTCATTATACTACATTACAATGTATATAGTCTATATAGCTTTAAATTCTATAATAAATATTCTATAATAAATAATCTATAATAACAAAATAAAGTTTACCTATGTGCTTGTATGTAAAGATCTTTTCTATAACTTCAGAACAATTTGTTTCAAGGTCTCGAAAATTGGATTTTGGAATTTGGATCTTGGATTTTGGAATTATATAGATATAATATATCTATATATATCTATATAATTATATATTCAAATTATATATCTATATATCCAAATTATAATCTATATATTTCTTACTTAACACAAAGACAGACACAAAGCCAAGTATAACATAAACAAACTAATTATGTATCGAAGTTGCCAGGTACAAAAAGCAAAAATATATCACGGTTACAATAAAATAAATAAGCAAAAATCTAAGCTAAGTGAAAGACGTAGACGAGAAATAATTATATTTTAACAAGTTCGATATGGCGCTACATTTAATTAACTTCATATTAATTAACATTCTAACTTATGTGGAAAAACGTAGCTCAACTTTAACACGCCATTTTGGTTATAAACGATCAGCTGATGCTGACGTCATAGGTCACATGTGTGGGTATTCTTTATCTTCTTCTTCAGGAGCAAGTACCCAATTGCCGAATTTTCACACACGAACATGCAATCTTAATAATTCAAGGTATTGACTTTAAATAAGCCAATCCATTAGTTCAGATAGTTTTTTTTATCCACGTTATTATACCTTTAACGCTAATTTTACTTTTACGTAATTATTTATATTCATAGAATTGTTTAAGCAAGTCAATTTTAGCGCATATATATGGAACTCGTTATTACAAATTCAATCCAACGAAAAAAATAATTTTTAATCATTAATACATATATCCTAACTATACCTATTATTTACGAATTGTCCAAAAAGTTTTAAATTGTATGTTCAATGTTTACGTCACTTTAAAGTGGTCACTTCACGTTTTTTTTTTCCTTTCTTTTCTTTCTTTTTTTTNTTTTTTTACCAAAAATCATAAAATTTAATTTTTATTTCACAATAAACATCGAATTTTAACAATTCTAACAATTTATATATTTATTATAGTTGCATTAGAATTATTTTTATGCTCTCTCAAAAACTCTTTTATGAAGTTCGTTAATATAGTTATTTGCTGATTTTGGTGATTTTTTTAACTTAAAAGGAACATTTCCTCTTTAACTACTGCTCCAATGCACCTGAATTTTGGTATACACGTAATTTTTAATATTATTTATATAAATTTAAAAAGAGCTTTTACCGAAACATTTATTCGAAAAAATTTTACAAAGGAAGTTGACATTCCTTTTTCAAACACCTTAGAAAACATGTATTTTCTAAAAAGCTTCGTATCAATATGACTCAATACTAAATAGATCTCGTAAACTAATGAAATTTTTTTACTTAGTATCATGAAACATTTTTCAAACATAACTGACAATTTTTTGAAAATGTTTCTTATAAACATCCCATATAATAAATAATATTAGAGATTCAACTGCTAGAAGTGATCCCCTCAAACAATGTAATTATAGTTGACAAAATTCAAAATTTTAATAAAATTGCTTAAAATTTGTAGAAAATAAAAATAAAAAAATCGACCAACTTTATGGAAGTTTTTGGTTCGTGACAATTACAGTTAGGAATTGTGCACAAATTTAAATCCTTCCCCATGCAAAAAAAAAAAAAAAAANGGTTAAGCTGCACCCCATGAAAAAAAAAAAAAAAAAAAATTTGATTATTAAAGATAGGGACTTTGATTGCGTTAATTGGTTTTGATTGTTTAAATGATAGACTTAAGCTTTTGAGGAAAACTCTTAAATCATACTACATAGTCTAATTTATAATAATAATTATAATTATATAACAGTCATTTTCATGAAACGAAAAATTGATTAGTCATTTAATAATTTAAATAAATGTTAACATAAACAAAACAAGAACAAAAAAAAGAGATAATAATCAGGTAAATCTGAAAATAAATCTGAAAAATAAATTTTTTTTAAATACAAAATGCAATCTTATTAAAAATACATACCCTAGATATTCAGTTTTTTTTACAATTTCGTCAAAAGCAAAAGAATGAAGAGAACAAAAAGAAGAATTTTCTTACAAAAATAAATCAATCTACAAAAGAAGGGAATAAATGCGATTGTTGTTTCCTTCAAGGTCCGAAACACTGACTGCAATTTGAAAAAAAAATTGCCGAGTACGAACAATGAATTATTTATGAGCTGAATCCTAAAAACGAATTTCATTCGCTGAACGGATCGACCACTGTGACCGACTCCCACAGGCAAATCAACGTGATTGGATAAGAGCCAATTAAACTTCATCTGTGTAAAGGAATCGTTAATCTAGAGGTAGATTTCGCGATGAATGAAAAAATAGAAACCAATAATCTTTCTTCGCCTATAATAACAGCGAACATCTTTAACTTAACTTTTGCTGAGGGGGTAGAGGACCCTACAAAATCACCAATCTTTTTAAAAGATTATTTATAACTAATACAGAAATAAATTTGTCTTTTGAGTTAAGGTACGCATCGGGTAATTAGGGACCGTGTCATGACGACTATTTTTCGCGTCATCGCCTACACGAGCATACAACCCTAAAACAGTATTGCAATGTATTAATATTGCAAGGTATTGTCAAGATTATCGATAACAAACAATATATCGCGATGTTTTTTCCAATTTCACTAATTCGTATTATTTCTGCATTGGTCAATAATATCGTTTCCCAAATAGAATGTAGCAACACTCACAATAATACTGTATTCAATAATTATTGCTACGTAAATTGTTCTTAATATCCTTTTGATATGTTATCGATAATGATCGCAATAATATCAAAAACAATAATTCTTGAGTTATTAACAGTATTGCAATGGATTAATATTGCAAGATTGTATTAATACTGCAATGTATTGTCCAATTTATCCAGAATATACAATATATCTCGATATTTTTTCCAATTTCACTAATTCGTATTATTTCTGCATTGGTCAATAATATCGTTTCCCAAATAGAATGTAGCAACACTCACAATAATATTGTATTCAACAATTATTGCTACGTATATTGTTCTTAATATCCTTTTGATATGTTATCGATAATGATCGCAATATTATCATAAACAATAATTCTTGAGTTATTAACAGTATTGCAATGAATTAATATTGCAATATTGTAGTAATACTGCAATGTATTGTCAAGATTATCGATAATAAACAATATTTCGTGATGTTTTTCCAATTTTATTAATTTGTATTATTTCTGCATTGGTTAATATTTTTGTTTCCCAAATAGAATGTAGCAACACTCACAATAATATTGTATTCAATAATTATCGTTACGTATATTGTTCTTAATATCCTTTTGATATGTTATCGATAATGATCGCAATATTATCATAAACAATAATTACAGAATTATATATTAACTCTAGGCTAACGGACGTTTCTTACATATCTATCTCTACGAACAAGCGCCAATCTGACGCATGAACATACAACAGCGCTTAGAAAGCAATGTAATGATATACTATAAGAAAAAAAAATTCCTAGTATTATATTTTTCAGAATTCAAAAAATATTCTAGTATTATATTTTTCAATACTCGAACTAAGCAACTGAAACCTTCAAAATCTGACATTCTGCGTTTGTTCTTTCTATTATTGCTTATCGGCAACAGTTGTTTATCGCTTGTTTCATTTGAGATATCGGATCGAAGTATTGTCGGTACATTCCTATTTATTATTGATGTGATGTTTGCATGTTTACTCAAAATTTCGTCTAAATTACGATAGCGTCAAATGGACGCATATCCGTAGAGATAGGTATACCACAAAGAGAATTTCAATATTTCTACACTTTTGAAGAAAATCAGACTTCAATATACACCGAAGAGCCATTACATTATGACCACCCTCCATCTATAACAATGGGCTCGCCCAGGAACAATGTTTTCATGGGGCCCATTAGGATCCATAATCCTCATAGAACAATCCCTGACGTCTGTAAGCTACTTGAACATAGTTGAAGGCCAGGTTCACCCATTCATGGCAACAGATTTTCCTGCAGGGGATGGTGTTTGCCAACAGGATAATGCACCATGTCATAAGGTTCGAATCGTCATGGAACATTCCAGTTACTTTCAAGTCTTGTCTTGGCCCCCAAATTCACCTGACCTTAATCCAATAGAGCATTTGTGGTCCTTCTTGGGAAACCAAATTCGTGCTGCCACGCTACCCCCTCTCAATGTGAGGGTATTGCAGGACCAGTTGGTGAGCGCTTGGTACCAGATACTTCAGACTACCTATCAGCATCTTGTGGAATCAGTGCCACGGCGGGTGCTAGCAGCTTTGAGGGCTAAAGGTGGTCCTACGTGTTGTTATTAGAAGGGTAGTCATAATGTAATGGCTTTTTGGTTTCTATTTATCTCGATCAATGGATAAAAGTCATTACAAGAGATAAAATAAAAATGTTAACGGGTTTTGTAATTTTCCCTATAAAATTCGAAATGCGTCAAAATGACGCGTCCCGTAAACCTAGTGTTAAATTTTTTTGACGGAAAACTTTGTTATGTCATTAAAAATTATACCTGAAAAATTCCCTACTCTTCTCTGTACTATTATCTCTATTCTGAGGGAATTTGAATACCTCCTGAACAAACAAGTAAGACATTGTTTCTGATGTATTTTTTACGCAGAATTGAATGAAACTAATTAAGAGATGATTAGTCTAATAGTTCAGAAGTCTTATTACCTTTATTAACAAAGAGTACAGATTAGTATTTGTCTCTCAAAGAGTAGGGGAGAGTGGGGTCAATTGTAACAGGGTACGATTGAAACAGAGCAAAAATTTCGAGTGTCGAGTTCTAGATTTGGTTCCTAGATGGCGCACAAGGTGTATTTAGTAAATCTACATGTACACCCCTGATGGCAACCATTTTTATGTACTTTTGAAAGAGTTACATCACAAAAGATATTTTCACGCCACGCAAGTACTTTTTTTGGTATTAGAATATTATATTGTAACAAAGTAATTTTGTTTAAACAAATAAAAATTAGTAACCGAATATGTAAGTGGACAC